AATAGTCTGACTTCGGAGTACACATGATGGCATTGCATTAACACATCCAACATGTCGATTCTGGAGTATCAGAGATGGTGACGATCGTCACCACAGCTGGGTGACGCTCGTCACCCGATCCTTCGCGAGGTACACTTTTCACACTTGGTTCTACACGTTCACTTGCTTCTTTTTGACTGAGTCTTGGCTTAATAACACTGGGGACAGTGTTGTTTAAGTCTGGGGGAGGTGGCTACTGACGTTTTGTGCATTGTGTTTGGTTTTTAGAGTCTTAAAGTTGAGTCAAAAACCTGTTTTTATAGAGTCAAAGTTTTCAAACTGTCAGTTTTTCTTGGAACTAACTTTAGGACGTTTATGCTTACAAGAACCATTGCCACAATAGTTGATTACAAGTCTTACTAAGTTGAAAGTCATAGGTGAATCAGTCTAGCAATGAAGGATTAGGTTCCTAGAGAATCTGAAAAATTTGTTGTTAGCTCCATCTTAATGAACTTTAAACTTCTTGTCTTGGGGCTTGATTCTCATTGATCTTGATTCTCTCTTTCAATAAGGTTAAGATACAGTCTCTCAATTGATCTTCCCTGATATAGCTTTAAGAGTTTAAGTTCATAGAATGGTGCATTCATGACCCTGTCTCCTAACAAGGAACAACAGTAATGAACACATTCAAGAACCTGTCTCCTCCCAAGGAACACAAGTATTGAGTAGCATCATATCTTAGACTGTAAAAAAATGAGAAAAGAGTTGAAAAATCGAAAATATCCAAAGGAAAAGATCAAGGGAAGAGAAAATAGGAGAGCTGTGTTGAGACTGATTTGTTCAGTTGTTTAGGAATGGAAAAGAATCTGTAAGTGATTGAGATGATAAAACCTTGATGAGATATCACACTTAGATAAATAACAGGAGTTAACAGTAGAGATTTCAGATTTCTTGAAATAGCTTGAACTAGATTTGAGAGGTTTGCTAAGCTTGTGATGATTAGACTGAAATTTGATCTTGGGTTGGCTCTGTGGTATGTGGATTCGAAAGTGTTAATCAATGTGGTGTTCCTGATGTTTAGCTGACTGTTTCTGTTTTCAAACCTCGACCCTGTTCTCTGTCTGATGTTTGCTTGAGGGCAAGCAAAAGCTAATTCTGGAAGAGGTTATATATCATGGTTTTCATGGTTTTTAACCATGGTATAAGTTCTTTTTATTGAGTCTTTTTTGTCTTTTTAGAGTCCTAGTAGAGTCTTTGCAGGTTAAAGCATGTCTGAAGCATAATTGGAAGTTTTGGAGCTTTTTGGAGCATTGCAAGATACAAGCCCGAATGAAGCAAGTCAGAAGCGTTGTTCTGGCTTGGGTGACGACCATCACTGACCTGGTGACGCTCGTCACCCTTAGAGGATGGATCGTGGCTAGTTTTTAGAAGATTGGGAAAAAATTGCAGTTTTGGCCCAGAAGTTTCAGTAAAAAAGCCCCAGATCGTATTTTAGCTTGTATATATTAGGTTTTCAGCCATTGCTGGTTTTTATCTTATATCGTATTCTTTTTGAGAGCTAGAGAGAGAGATTTGTAGCAGAGCTTTTGGAGAGAAAAATCAGACTCCTTCAGAGCAGATTTCGAACTTCTTTATTTCTATTTCTTATTTTTTTATGCAAATCTATTCTTTTCATGATGTTTGTTTCATTCACCATGTCTGAGTAGTTTTTTAGTTAAGTTAGGGATTTTCAAAGGTTGAAGAAGAGTTTGTAGAATTGCTAAACTATAGGAAATCTATTGGTTCTTCATATGTGCTTGCATTCATATCGATTTCTTAGACACATCATCTGGATTTCGAAATCCTAGGTTGTTTGATAGATGTGAGAGCATTATTAATCACCTGAACTAGTATTAGATGAGCAAAACGCCCCTGTGAAAAGAGATTTGGCTTAGGAGTTTTGTGAACAATTGAACCTGATCATTACTGCATGTTTAGGTTGTTAGGGTTTGCAAAGAGATTTGAAACTCTGTGATTTAGGCATAGTTAACTTCTGCAATGAGAATTGATTAGTTATATCTTTGATATTCATGTTCAAGACGGTTTTAATTCATTCTTGAATGCATGCATTCTACACTCTCGAAGTCGTGACTTAGCGCCTTTAGCTTTCTGAACTATAAGAACAATCCCTAAAACGCCCACTTACATTTATTTTGCTGTTTCCCATTACATTCACTACTTATTGCTTAGCTTAATCCGAACATGAACTCTTTAGTGTTGTTTACTTGCTCCCTTGGGATTCGATAACCCCTTATACTACAATTGTATTGTTGTGCACTTACAATAGTTTTATTTTGGTAAAACCTGAGCCCTATCAAAAGTCTTGGAATTTGACCAAGCAATGCTCTCATATTCTGCTTTTCGGATTGAAAAGAATACCGACAATAGCAAATTGATTCGATGGCCCGGCTTGATTGCAAATCGCTTCCGGTAGAGCAATTGGGGCATCGTCCAACTCCAAGTCGATCTCTTGCATACTTCTTCTTAAGTTGTCAGTCATAACACGTAGATTTGGTAATTGAAACTGATAGTCAACTTGGATTTTTTTTAGGTTTATATAGTATTGTATCCATGGCGGTTTGAGATGAAGGTTGGATGAAAGAGAAGATAACCGCCAGAGAAAACACTCAACAGACTGTAACCGACAACATAGATCCAAAATAATTGGGATTGCAAGCGTCAGATGGACCTCATCGGAAGAAATTAGAGAAAAAACTGTATTTTTTTGTTGATTTCGCCACGGGAGAGAAAAAGAAAGATGAGAGAGAGAAAAAGAAGAGAGAGAAACATCTTTTATTTAAAAGTTACAATGATTCACAAGAGTTACAATTTTCTGATTTTGTGTATGTTCAATAAATAAAAAATATTATATTTACCGTTAAATTTTAATCCTTAAAGAGTATTTCCACCCTTATCAAGTCTTCGGATACACGAAATCCCTTGTAGGATAAGACAACCAAAAGTCTCTCTTGTTTTATGTTAAGATACAAGAGACACACTAAAGTTCTAGTGTTGATATGTGTTTTTCTAAAAATCTTTTATGATCTTTTGGAATAGTAAAACTCTCTCTTTCCTTCTTTCTTTCTTTCTTATTTTCTCTATTTCTGCTTGTTTTCTGAATGTTGTTGTGATTTTAGTAATACCTATAACTCTTTTTATAGGAAATCAAAGGTCACTTCAAAAGATTACAATGGTTGATCAGGTTGCAATGGTTGATCACCAACTGTTACAATGGTTAGTCACCAAATATTGTAACTATAAACCCAACAATTGCAATGGTTAGTGACCGAAAGTTGTAACCATAAACCCAATAGTAGCAATGGTTCATTTAAATGGTTGCAAATTTGAAGCTGTTGCAATAGTTCGTCAATATGTGTATGTTCAGAAAATATAATAACACTAATCTTTACCAGCAAATATTAAAACAAAGATTATTGACCATTATATTGATGTGTGTTTTAGCAATCAAAATGAATAATCACAATGGTTTCTAAAGTCGCAATGTTTTAACTATGTGTCTATTTGGTAAATAAAACAAATATAATTTTCACTGTTCAAAATATTAAGGAATAACAACCGTTAGTAAATGTACATCTTTTTAACTATTAAAAGATTATGCCAACAATCACATCATAACCATTACATATCAAATCAAAACTAATCAAAATAACCTTGACATCAACAGTTCAAAAAATTATTTTGCTATTATATATAGATTTTTGAGAATATAAACAAGTTTCAGATTCAATACAATTCAATTTTCGTTTATGTTCTTCTTTAAAAGATTAGAGACAATCCTTTATCTCTTACTATGTTTCTTCTTCTTCTACTCTCCTCTGGGAAATCAATATTCTAACAGATATTGCACTTTTAACTGTGGTGGATGATAACTTGATAAAGCATTTCAGCCTCTAAAAGCATATTCTTCAACGAGAGAGAATGGTACTTACAGTTCGTGATGAAAAACATGATGTGAAGCATGCGTCTCTCATGTCTATTCTGACCCGGTATACAGCTGCGAGCAATGTGATTTCCTCCTCCACGAAACATTCGCGAATCTTCCTAGAAGAAAACAACTTTTGTTTCACAATATACTATTTAAACTTGTATATGCCACAGACATTGATTCATCCAAAGCCTTCAAATGTTACGCATGTAATACAATGTTTAGCGATTTTATGTATGTGGCATATTCAATCAGCCTTTGAGTGTTACAGTACGTTTTCTGAATTCGTATCCTATGATATCCATAACAACCCTTTATATTATAGTGATAAGAAAATGTTTCTGAAATGTGGTGCATGCCAAGGCGGAGAGATGTTAAGCAAAATGCTCTCTTCTGATGATTGTGACTTTGAGTTGGATTTTCGATGCTATAATTTGTCGAAAATTGTAAAGCATAAATACGATGTGCGTTCCTCTTTCCTTATGTTATGGCGAAGACTCGAATGGTAAGTATTGGTGTGATATTTGTGAGGGTGAAACAAATCCAAAATACTAGTTCTACACTTACTCTTATTCTGCGGACACATTGTATGTTCTGTGTATCCTTGGAGATTTCTCTTTTCTCATGCCCAGACGCATAATGGAATATATGGGATGTAAATTTGAAGTGGTTCCTAACAATAACTGTTCTCGACCGTTATGTGTCCATTGTCAATGTCGATGTAGAGGCCCTTTCATTCTGAAGCCTAATGATCCATGCACATCTTCTTCTCTGATTTTCTCTCTTTTGGATTCTGTTATAGTTTCATATTTGATGTTCAAGCATTAGACATCAATCATTTGTTCTTTTTCTCACTATTCGTAATTATTTTTTTTGATAAAATTTGAATAATATCAAATTGTAAAAAGGTTCCTTTTACAAGAGCTTGGCATAGCTAAAATGTAATCTAAGGGTCCAAAAAAAGTAAAAAAAAAAACCCATACATTACAGAGACAACTAGTAGAGACTTGAGTTAAATAGAGAGGCTTAGCTATCTCTAGGTGAACCAACAGGAGAGAAGGCTTGAGCTGTTCCTTCTGTTGTAGGCTAGAATGGCATCCCGGATGCAGCGATCAATGTATATGAAGCAGAGATCAGGAGTAGAAGAGCAGCTATCATGGAGTCTGGTGTTTCTCTCCTTCCATAAGAAGAATATTGTTGCCTGAACTGCCAGGAGTTTGAGGAGCTTTGGAGTATGGTGAGAGGGCCCAAGCATCCACGTTATTAACTCTGACCAGTTTGCAAAGGCGAGGCTCGGCTGGCCAAGTCGATGTAAGATGATCTTCCAAACCAGCTGGTTGAATTCACAATGGAGGAAGAGGTGATCTCTTGTTTCGTCATGCAAATTGCACAAGCAGCACAGAGCGGAGGTTGCAATTCCCCAACTAACGAGACGGCACCGAAATGGAAGCCTATCTGCAGTGGTGACCCAGAAGGTAAAAGTATGCTTAGGAATGCAACATTTAAACCAGACCACTTTGTACCAAGGCTTTGGTTGATCCGAAGGTCTGAGTTCCTCCCAAGTACGCGCGACGGAAAAAGTAGACCTTTCAATGCCCCCTGTATTCCAGAGGTACTGATCAGGGCCGCTGCTTGAGTCGGGTGTGTTCGTTGCCGACAGAACGTCACGTAACTCATGAAGCTTAGGAGACCTTGAGCTAGTACTCGGAATTGTCCAAGAGCCACGCCTACCACCTTAGCGACATGGCATAAAATAGGCAGCCGCACAATTCTTGTACCCTCTTCACCAAGAAAGTCCAGAAGTGGACCTATCTTGAACCAATTATCAAACCAGAAACTGCAGGTCCTCCCATCATTCACCTTACAAGTAAGAAACCTCCTCGCAATGGGTCTAAGGTCCAGCAGGAACTTTCATATCCGAGAGGATGAAGAGTTCACCTTTGCTGTCCAAAGGTTTGTGCGCTTGAGGCGATGCTCTCTATTCCAAGCCACCTTAAGAGAGCCACTAGTGGAGAACATAAGCCAGATGATTCTTAGGTTTAGCGCTTTATTCTAAACAAAGAAGTTTCTCAACCCCAGCCCTCCTTCACGCTTTGGAAGGCACACTTGTTTCCAAGAAACTTTAGTATCCCTATGGTTGCTAATATCTCCAGTCCATAGGAAATTATTGCAGAGAGATTCCAAAGATTTTAAACAGCCCTTCAGAAGGGAGAAAGCTGCCAGCCAGAAATTAATCGAGCTATATATAACTGAAGAGATAAGCTGCAACCGACCTGCGAAGGATAACTTTTTGACTGTCCAAGAATTGAATCTTCCCTTGATTGCATCTATGAGCGGAGAGTAATGAGATGTTTTCAACTTTCTATGCATTAAGGGAAGCCCGAGGTATCGTATGGGGAGTGAACCTAGGAGGAAACCAAGAGAAGAGGATTCTGCAGTTTCCGCCTGGTTTAAACCTGTCACGAACAAAGCAGATTTGTCTCTATTCATACTCAAACCCGAGATTGAGGAGAACTCATCCAGCGTGTTGACAATAGCTTGCAGAGAATTTAGCTTACCATCATAGAAGATCATCACATCATCAACGAAATAGAGGTGGGAAATCTTCGGGTTGTGGGCTTTCGGATGAAAACCAATCGCGCCTTCATTGATACGAGAGGTGAGCAGGCAAGCAAAAACCTCAATTGCCATAATAAAGAGATAAGGGGACAGCGAGTCTTCTTAGCGCAGGCCTTTTGTTCCCTTAAAATAGCCACTGAGTCCACCGTTTAAGCTAACTGAGAAGCTAGTTGTGGTGATACTCTGTGATATCCTGTTAATATAAACTAGGGGGAACTCGGCTGCTCTCAGCACTTCAATGATGAAAGTCCAGTTGACGGAGTCAAAAGCTTTGTGAATATCAACTTTGACGAGGCCTCGACAAAATGTATGATTCTGGTTAAAGCCTTGGACCAATTCTATTGTCAATAGGACATTCTCCACCAATAATCTGCCTTTCAGAAAAAAAATTGAGAGTTTGAGATTATACCCGGCAAAATGTTCTGAAGTCAAGAGGGGGGAGAAAACAATTCTTTTTTGACATCCTCAGCAGTTACTGGAGCAGACAAGGTGGCTTGCGCGTCGTGATCACAGTGAAAGGTAGTTAACTATCTGATGCGATTCAACCCTTCCGAAAGTAAGGGATACACCCTGCCACCCAAGAGAGCACCGTAGAAATCCACACAGCACCTCTGAATATCCACCAGTCTATCAAGAGGAGAACCATTTCTATCAATTAAGTAATGAATCTGATTCATTAATAGTCTGGCTGCCATGAAACGATGGAAAAAAGCAGTGTTCTTATCCCCACATTCCACCCATGTGACTTTAGGCCTCTGTCTCAGAAACTGTTCCTTTGCAATAGCTAGGTCAGACACTTCTTGTGTGCTTCCTTCTCCAGTGTGGCCATAGCTGGCGTTGGAGAGAAGAGAAGGTTTTTTGGCACTCTGTGAGGTTATCAAGAGCTTCCGAGATGCGTTTCTTCAAGTTAGAATAATGGTCCTTATTGATGTCCTTTATAGTTCTCTTCCACTGCGTCAACATCTTCACTACGGAGAACATCTTTGTGCCTTCATAATGTAGAGCTTCCCATGCTTCTCTAATTCTGGGGATGAGATATGGGTGATTTGTAATGAAGTTAGGGAAGCGGAAAGGTCTATTTGCCATAACTTGTGGCCTGCCAATCTCGACGCAAGAGGGATTGTGGTCGGAAAACATGCTTTCCTTGAAGAAACCAACCGAGAAGGGGAAAGAGACCATTTAGTTGTCATTGACAAGGATCCTGTCTAGCTTCGTGACGATTGGGTTATGGTCTTGGTTGTTCTACCAAGTAAAGTGATTCCACCGAAACAAGAGGTCAAACAAACCAGCTGAAGTCAAGCAATTTCTGAATTCTGTCATACCACCAGTAATTCGAGTTCTGCCCCTGAAGTCGGCTTTTGGATTCAGAGACAGGTTGAAATCCCCAAGAACTTTCCATGGGAGTGGAGAGACTCTCGGGTCTACTGCTATTTGGGTAAGCTCTAGCCAGAGATTACGTCTGCCTTCCTTATCGTTCAAATCATAAACAAAGGTAACCGCCATGTCCTGAGACATACCAGGAAGCTTCACATTACATGTGATAGCTTGCTTAGATTTTGTAGCATCCGTATCCGAGAAAATCTGGAATGATCGAGCCGGACAGGAAGTTGTCCAAAGGAACGTGAGTTCAGTCAAGTGAAAAATCCATATGTATGGGAGGTTCAGACTATAGTCGAGGGATGACTAGGAAATAGTCGAAGGATAGTCGGGCTGGCCGAGCAGGATGGACCATATCCGAGAGAAAAATGGTTATATCCGGGAGAAAGTGGACTATGTCCGAGAGAAAGGGGACTATGTCCGAGAGAAAAGGAAAATAGTCGAGTAAAAATGGGCTGGGCCCGTGGGCTGAGAGTTTGGTCGGATAAAAACTAGTTTCTCGATAGCCGAGAGAACTTAAAGCTAACCGGGATAAACCTGACTGGCACCAAGAGACTCCGGCTATAACCGAGTTATCTAGATTTTGCGAGTATAAAAGTAGGTTTCTGTGACTTTTCTTGGGAGAGCCGCACTTTTTGGGAGAAAAAGAGCGAGAGAGAGAGATTAGTCGAGAGATTATCCTAGAGATTCTGATTATCCAAAGAGTTAGACAATAGAGATCGAAGTTTAACTGGCGATTCTGACTATCATCGAGAGATCGAGTGTTCTGTCGGAGTTTCTGTGGATCTGATCCGACCATTCACTCTAAATTGAGGGTTTTCCGAGGGAATAACCAAGTTCATTTGTGGAGTTCTCAGCGGATCATGAGATATCCGGGAGCACTTCAATTTGTCCGAGAGAATATGATAAGTGTTCTGATATTCTGATTAGTGCTAAGTTTCTGTAGGGTAACGACGGACTAATAGTTCTGTTTTGTACTGTTTTTGAGAAAATACAAGATCTTGCCTGAGTAAAACTACACGAGTTGAGAGATAGCCGAGAGGTGTTGAGATTTTGCCAGACCAGTCTGAGCGATAGCCGAGAAATCACAAGTGTGTCCGACTATCTCTGCTTCTGATCGAGAAATCACCGAGATTCATTAGTCTGAAACGTTTGTCTCTGTGTCTAAGGTGCGTGTGTGACTATGGTCTGTATCTAGAATCGTTTGATTGCTAGGTTATTTGATTTTCACTGATTGCTTGTGTAAGTTAGTGGTTTCTGCTTAGCAAGGTCAATGTTTCTGTGATTGTGAAAGGTTAAATGCAAACCATGGTCAATACATGATGTATTACTAGCTGTGTGAATGTCCGGATTGTGTTACTAGCTCAAGGGGATGTGTGATTCTCGCTTGGAGTAGAACCGATGCCTTGTGAGGCTTTACAAGTTGTTGAGATGATCATAGGACCGTACTGTTTTATGTGTTTGCTTGCTAAGTGATAATGTGAATTGTATAACTATTAGTATGATGCGTTTTCTGGTACTGGCTAAGGTGTTACAGGATGACTGTATTCACTAAGTATTTATCAAATACTTATGCCTCTCTTTTTGAGTGTGCTTGTAAAGATAAAGTCCAGGGCAAGTAGCTCTGAAGGCGGACTGGAAGGCAGTGAAGAGAAGGGGTGGATTAGGACCGGATTTTGGGATTCCTGTTATGAGCTTTCTGTTTTATGGCTTTGGTGTTAGCATTTCTGAATTAAACTGAATCTGATAAGTTTAGTTTTCTGTTATTGAACCTGAATACTGTTGAGTGTTTCTGGAATAATTATGCAATGAGAATGAATGTCTTTTGATGAATCGAACTCGTTTAAGTTTAAGAAAAGTTTTTTAAATATGCGTGTTTTTGTATTCTGGCCGAGAGAAGACACAATGAGTTTTGGGCCGGTCTAGAGTGTGAAACTCTTGTCTGGGGTTAGCTTCGGGCAACCGGTTTGTCTGTTTGGCAGATGGCTCCGAGAAAGAGAACTGCGAGAGCACAAGTGAATGGTGCTGAGAACACTGAGAGTTCTGGAACTAAAAATGTGGTAGTGGACTAGCCAGGGAATAAGGCTGCGAATGTGGCGGCTGCTGCTGTGAATGTGGCTGTGGCCAATGTGGGAAACGTGACAGGGAATATTGCGGGAGCACAACCGGTTGGGTTGGAGGCTGTTCTGGGGCTGTTGGCTCAAGTGTTGGAGCGTTTACCAGTGGTTGTGCCTGCACCGGTAGTAGCACCAGTAGTGGCACCATAAGTGGTGGAACTGGCAGTTGCCGATGGATTTAGGGAAGCGGATCAGGGGGTGGTGATTCCGTCTTACCTCAAGGTTCTGGATCATATGGGGAGGCTAGGAACCTAATTCGTTAATGGAGGTTATGCGCCTATTGAGGCTGATGAGTGGAGGATGAGACTGGAGCGGAACTTCAAGTCCATCTGTTGTCCTGAAGGTTACAAGAAGGACATAGATGTACACTACTTGGAGGGTACTGCGCACATCTGGTGGAAGGGAATCACCGGGCGTTGGGTTAATCCGTACTGTTCGTATGAGACGTTCTCTACGATGTTTCAGAGTAAGTACTTCCCGCAGAAAGCTTACAACCAGTTGGAGGCTGAGTTTCTGTATCTGCGCCAAAGGACCAAGACGGTTCGGCAGTATAAGACCGAGTTCAACCAGTTACGTAAGTACGTAGGACGTGACTACAATACTGAGGATAAGCTGATCCGAAGGTTCATGAGTGGGCTAAGGGTTGAGCTGAGGAACGGTTTTCTGGTGCGTGACTATGCGACGGTCACTGAGTTTGTGGAGAAAGCGGCACTATTGGAATCTGGACAAGCAGAGGAAGCTTTGTCAAAGGCAAGTACTGTGGTTGTTGTGGCCAAGAGTGGTCAATCATATAGAGGACACAACTGCAGGTTTGGGAGGAATGTTCCAGCCAAGTCTAGTGGGAACCGCAGCGTGTGTGGATCATACGGGAAGGTGCATGTGGGCATTTGTAGGCATTCAGCTGGGGCTTGTCACCGTTGTGGAAGCTGGGAGCATCAAGTGCGGGATTGTCCTGAGCCAGACACAAGGATGGTGGGAGTGTCGGATGGTGAAAGCGTATCTGTTGTGTGTTACAGTTTTGGAGAACCGGGACATTACAAGCAGGATTGTCTGAGGTCAGGAGCAGCTGGGCAAGCGGCTTCTCGGGCTAAGCGTGCGGGGGATGCACTGGCACCGGCAGCCAAGAGGCAGGCCATCATGCCAAGAGTGTACGCAGCGACTACGGACGGGAGTGGAGATCCAAGCGCTTCTCGACCGATCACTGGTTAGTTTTAGTATTTACAGTTTTCTGAGTTCTGTCTGTTATCTGTATTATGTGTCTGCGTGTTCTGTTAAGTGTCTTAGCATTCTAGTGGTTGAATGTGTTGGGACCTTATTAATGGGTGAGGTAGAGACCCATGTTATGTTTGACTATAGAGCAAGTCAATTTTTTTGTAAATCCAGAGATGATTGGAAAGGGAGAATTCCATTAGGAACCTGGAGAGGATTTCGATTTAGTGAGGGCGGCTGGAGGCCAAGTGATGTTCTCACTAGGAATGGTTAAAAATATTTCTGTCTGGATTGGCAAAGTTGATATGCCAGCAGATTTGGTGATCTGCAACGTTAAGTCTTACGATGTCATCCTAGGGATGGATTGGCTTAGTAAGTACAAGGTGCATCTAGATTGCCACCGTGGAAGGGTGAGATTCGAAAGAGATGGCGAGGTTTTGGTATATCAAGGGAGAAGACTGACTTCTGGTAGCTTGGTTGTGTCAGCAATACTAGTGGAGCGACTAATAGAGAAAGGGTGTGAAGCATATCTGGCGATGATATCTATAGATGAGGTTGGACCGGATGTGGAGTTAGGAGAGATTCCAGTGGTACAAGAGTTTGAGGATGTTTTCCAAGCTTTGACTGGAATACAACTGGCTCGTTCAGATCTGTTCACGATTGAACTTGAACCGGGGATGGCTCTGATATCTAAAGCACAGTACTGAATGGCACCGTCCTAGATGGCTGAACTGATGAAGCAACTGGCTGAACTTTTGGACAAAGGTTTCATAAGGCTAAGCAATTCACCATAGGGCGCACCTATTCTGTTCGTAAAGAAGAAGGATGGAAGTTTCAGGCTTTGCATCGACTACCGAGGGTTGAACCGTGTAACTGTGAAGAACAAGTATCCACTTCCAAGGATAGACGAGTTACTGGACCAGCTCAGGGGTGCTACTTGGTTCTCGAAGATTGATTTGGCTTCTGGGTACCATCAAATACCAATAGACGAACCGGACGTTCGGAAGACTTCCTTTAGGACAAGGTATGGTCATTACGAGTTTGTGGTCATGCCTTTTGGTTTGACGAATGCACCAGCTGCATTTATGAAGCTGATGAATGGCGTGTTCAGGGAGTACGTGGATGAGTTTTTTGACTATTTTCATAGACGATATCCTGGTGTATTCAAATAGTCTGGAAGAGCATGAAAAGCAGTTACAGATTGTTCTGGAAAAGTTGCGAGAACAGAAGTTGTTTGCTAAGTTGAGTAAGTGTAGCTTCTGGCAACGGCGCATTGGGTTCTTGAGTCATATTGTATCGGACAAGGGAGTGTCCATGGATCCTGAAAAGATCAAGACTATTGCGGATTGGTCAAGACCAGAGAATGTGTCTGGGATAAGAAGTTTTCTGGGATTGGCTGGTTATTACAGGCGTTTTGTGAAAGGCTTTGCAAGTATGGCTCAGTCCATAACACGCCTGACTAGTAAAGATGTTGAGTTCGTTTGGACGGCTGAGTGTGAGGAGTGTTTCTTGAAGCTGAAAGGAATGGTTACAAGTGCACCAGTGTTGGCTTTACCTGAGTCGGATGAACCGTATGTGGTGTACACAGACGCTTCTGGGAAAGGACTTGGTTGTGTCCAAATGCATCATGGAAATGTGATTGCATATGCGTTAAGACAACTAAGGAAGCATGAGGTGAACTACCCTACGCACGACATGGAGATGGCGTCTGTAGTCTTTGCGTTAAAGATATGGCGATCTTACTTGTATGGTGGGAAAGTTCAG